GAGAAAGCATCAGCAGCAGATCCTCTCACATAAAAAAGCTCAGGTCATGACATCATGAAATTGATTCTTATCCCAAAACGAAAGAGTTAGTAGCCACAGAGGACTCAGCCTCAGGCTAAGCACCCAGGGCTCAGGGTACACAATCCCTGTGTTTGACACAGTTGGTCTAGGTCCTGTTTCCCCGTCTATTGCTATCTGCCAGACATATCCTGTGGTGGTGCCCTGAAAAGGAAACATCCCCCGCCTCCTCCCTTTCTCTCTTTTCTTTCCTTCCTCCATCCTCCCTCCCTCCCTCTATCTGTCTGTCTGTCTCTCTCTCTTCCTCCTCTATCCCTCTTTACATCCTCCTCCCTCCTCTTTCTCTCCCCTTTTCTCCTGTGTGTATGTTGTAGACTATAGCTGCTGCTACTTCTTGAATTCTTGGGGTGGAGAAAAGGCACAGCATGGGTCAAAAGATGCAGAGTTCCATGCTTGTTCCAGCAGAAGCTCGTAGTTGACTTCTCTCCCTAGCAATGCCACCTTTAGCTTCCTAGACCGGATCCCTGATGTCCCTCTTAAAATCCTTGAACATGACATACTTCTAGTGCTTTCAAGAAACCACTGTTAACTAAGAAGGAAGTTCCCCATGATAGCCACTTGGGATTATCAAAACTTACCAGGAGACTGCTCTAAATTCTACTTCTTGTACTGTTCTGCCAGATAACCATGTACCTTCTGCTTTCCAGGCACAGGAAACCTACTTCCTGGTCTGTCTGGAATTCAGCAGGGCTAGGCAGTCATCTCTGATCAACAGATTGTGGGAAATTTGTGAGCCATCTATCACTTTGGGGTTATAATATCACCTACTTGAGGGAAACCCTCCATTGCATCTGCATCCATATTCTGTAGTGGTATTGGTAGCAGATGAATGAGCCTGCATCTTGGAAGAAAGGAAGGGACTAGTCACTCTAGCCACACGGTGGAAGAGGTCTGTTTGCATGAGAAATGCAGTGGTGTTTCAGATCCTTATGCCTTAATTTGTTACATTACCTACAGTGACATTTCCTTGAGTCATACAAGATGGTCTGTTTCAGAAAGAGAAGTGATGGGACAGAACAAAGCAGAGATGCTGTTTCATATACTGATTCTAAAACAGATATGCAAATCATGCCGATCCTTTTCTGGCTGTAAAAAACCCTGTATATTCAGAGATACTTTACTTTTTTTTTTTTTTTTAAGAGAAAGAGTGAAAGATCAGTCTGTCATGCTAACCTGAGTTGGATCCCCAAAAACCACATAAAAAAAGCTAAGCATGGTCACACTTCCTTGTTCAGTTGTATATGATAACCCTGTCTTTCTGTTCAACTGTATAGAATAAACATATGCTGAACTTCTGATGCTGTGGCTTCTCCATCAGGGAGCCCAGAGCTCCTCTTCCCTGCTTTTCTGTGTTCCTGTGTCTTAGTCATTGTTCCATTGCTGTGAAGAGACACCATGGCCAAAGCAACTCTTACTAAAGAAAGCATTTGACTGGGAGCTTGCTTAGTCCATGGCAGAGAACATGGTAGCACACATAGCACTGGACAAGTAGCTGAGAGCTACACCCTGGCCCACAGACAGGGATAGCTGACAGTGCCAGTGACATACACCTCCTCCAACAAAGCCATACCTACTCTATCAAGGCTGCACCTCCTAATCTTTCTACTCCTTTCAAATAGTACCAGACCCTGGTGACTAAGCATTCATCTATATGAGCCTATGGGGGCCATTCTTATTCAAACCACCACACATAGGTGTCACAGCCTGCCCAAGCTGATACATGATCCTGGTCTCCTCTATCTGCTATCAACCAGTCATAGTCAGTTGTCAAACAAGGACAATAGCAAAGTTAGGCTCTGCCTAGCATGGTGCAGCTGATAATCTTGAGAGCAATAAAAAACACACTCACCCTAGAAGAGGAGGCCATCTTTGGGCAGGCTATAACACACAGTTATGTGGTCTAATGCTAGGCTAGATGTTGCTGTGAAAGCAATTTGTAGACATGGCTAAAGTTAATATTTAAAATGTAACTCAGTTTTAACCTCCTTTAGAAGATGACTTCAAGTATGTACCTTGAAAATACAGTGGCACTCACCCAATCAGTCCAAGGTCTTAAGAAGAACAATTTAGGTTTTCTGAGGACAAACACATTTTGCCTCAAATTGAACAACAAATCCTGCCTGTTGGCCTGTCCTCTGGATTTCAAACCTGCCTCACAGGTTTTGGACTTTAGTAATTATGTGCACCAATATCTTTGAATAAAGAACCTAGCAGTTTCTTTTCTATTGATCAATCAGTCTCCTACAGATTTGATTTCTCTGGGATTCTTGACTGATAGAAACAAGTAATTTTCTTTATAGTATTTGCATGAACAATTAAAAGGCACTCCCACTTTAAACATTGAACTTTAGGGGCCTGGTTAACTGGCATTACCTTGAAAGGGATAGCAGAGATGTGGTTAGAAACACAGCTACTCCTGCCAATTTTACAAAGACATCCTAAAGCAAAGACACTTTTAAGTTTACAGAAAGCGTCTGATGACATTTGTATATCAAAAAGCATGGAAAATCCCTCATGCTGTGGACTGGAAAAAATTGAGCCTTCTGTTATGAATGACCACAGTTTCAGTTTTACAGAATGATAGATTGTTGGAACTGGAAAGAAACTCCAAGAGTCTTTTCACCATATTCCCCATTTCCCTCAATAATCCTGAAGTGGGGGTTGGAGAGATGGCTCAGCCGTTAAAGGCTAGGCTCACAATCAAAAAAGTAATCCTGAGGCTGAGAGATACTGGGTGTAGTGAGATGTCATTCTGTATATGTTTCTCATACTGGTTAATGTTGGCCAATAGGAAAGTTAGATAGGCGGGACTAGGAGACAAGGAGGAAAGAGGAAGTGGTAGGAAGGAAGGAGTCAAGATGAAGAGTCTGGAGAAAGCAGAATGCCGGCCGGCTCCCCAGTAAGAGAAATACATAGATCAGCAGAAATGGGTTAATACTTAAGACAGAGTTAGCCAATAAGAAACTAGTACCAGGCCAACAGATTATATCAAATACAGAGTCTCATTGTGTTATTTGGGGCTGGCGCGGTGGCGGGACAAGACCAGGCGGCGGACACAAAAACCATACTCCATACACTGGGGGACTTGCCTGGGCTCAGAGGGTTGAGCTGACATGAGGACTCTGGCCTCCTGGCCCTGTGTTACAGTGCTGTTCAGGATGACGTGCTGGGGTTGGCTGAGCCAAAGCTCACACTCACTCAGCTTCACACAGCTCAGTGTGCCTCCTGCCGAAACAGCACAGTCTGCTTTATGAGCTGTCGCAAATCAATGGGTACTCCAAAGGAGGAGAAATCATGGACAAAGATCTTTTGGTGTTTCCTAGACTATCTGTTGTCTAGGAGGGAAAGAAGAATGCCTGCTGTGTGACACCAGTTGTGCAGCCAGGTCTGCTGGCTTCTTTAGCTTTGCATTCTGGAACACAGCTATGGTGAGGAGTGACAGTCCAGTGAAGGCTAGCTCAACAAGTGCACTTAGTGCTAGCTGGTGGAAGGCAGCTGTACCTGTTTCACAAACTACACAGGGGGCTTTGGGACAAAGAGCTAGAAATGCTTATTGACACAAATCCCAGACTGCCCATGGTTTGCCCTCAGCTCAAGGGGATGGTGGATTGCATCTCTGGGAAAACAGTCCTGAGTGCAGAGGGTTGTCCTGTAGTCCCCCCCCCCGTCCCACCTCTGTCTACCTCCTGAAGACAGCTAGCCATGTCTCAGGACAAAAGCAGCAAGGTGGAAGGGAGCAGATTAAAATCTGGTTTTTAAACACTCACAGATGCAAAACATAGCATCCATATTTACTTCATAGTGTGGTTGCCCTCCTGGTTTTACCAGGAGAGGCCAGTCTCTTGTGACCCAGTCCACATGTGACAGGGGTGGCTGAGAGTGTCACCTATGGAGAAGAGTTTGGATCATTGCTGGGGTATCCCTAGGTTCCAGAAAGGAGGGGTCTGAATGTCCTTGGAAGCTGAACAATAGGGCCTGAAAATTAGGGCTGAGGATGTCCTGAAGCGGCTGTCTTCACCTCAAACATGTGAGGCATACTTAGGAAACCTGGCCAACACACAGAATCTGATGTCATATGGAAATATCTTAAAGCTGCTACAGAATATGGGAAAACCAAGATGGCCATTAAACACACTGTGCAAACAACCTTAGACAGCCCAGCAGCAAGGCTAGAGCACACTGGAATATTTTTTGGATAGTGCATTTGATAATTTGCAATTATAAGGTACCTGACCTTCCAATTTTATTTTGATTAAAGCCACAGCTACTATAATATTCTTAATTAGTTTTGTGGCTTGAATTTCATCTGGAGATCACTAATGTATAAAAGCAGAGTCTGATCCAGGCTACTCATTACCTAGTTGCTGTCCACCAGGACCAGCTCATTGACTCAAATCTTTTATAAAATAAGATAGCTGAAAATGTCATCCATATCCACTAGCAGATTGGCATCCTCCTGCCCCCCCCCATTTTTTTTTCTTTAGAAACAAGTCCACAAGTCCTTCCCATATGGCTGAACAGGTTGCAAACTGCACAAGAATGACACATCCAAGGGACAGGGTGCTGTTCATACCACAGATATTGCAGATTTGTTTATTTTTCACTGTCTTATCCTGGCACATGTCAGTGAGAGGCTTGTTCTGACAAGATGGGTATATTACAATGAACTTCTAATAGGAGGGACCATGGTGTGTGGATGAGGGACATGCCACTTTCTGATTTACCCCAAACTGTAGTGGGATTGTTGGCCCTGGCAGAAGCTTGAGGCTTGCCTGATTCTACTCTAATGAGCTGCCTTCTTGGTTTGGCCTTTATCCCTGCCAGAGGCCTCAACCATCCAAAGTACCATTGGCTACTGTTTGAGAGGAACCCAATAACCAGCCAGCTTCAGGCTCAGGGTTAGCCCAGAATGGCCCACTTACCTTTTCATTTTTCTTGTCATCTGGCTTGTTCCCTGTGTTGATGGGGCTGGGTATGGTCAGGCCACTGATGGGTGCCCCTCCAACCTCCCCACTGAGGTTGGCAGCACTGACATTGGGAGGTGTGATGGCTGATGCTGCTGATGTGAAAGGAATGGCTGTCCGGGGACACATCTGCGTTGGGGGATGCTGGCTGTGCTGTGGGGACACCATAGAGCGGGGTCGGAGGCTGGTGGTGGGTAGGCGGGATGGAGAAGTCTGAGTGCGCAGTGGTGACACAGTGGCAGTTGGTCGGTCCAGGGCCTGGGCTGAGGAATGGGTAGCTGGAGAGATGGTGAATTGAAAGTTTAGTGCATGTGGCCATGTGATTACAGCGAATTCTCTTCTCAGGCTTGACCTTTGGCCTCTGAGGGTTCTGAATACTCCAGACTTGGATTTCTTTACTCTGACTCAGCACAGTCCTTATCCCAAGTGTCCTAGGGCATGCCAGGCCCTATTAATCCAGTGTTTTCTCATATTTTTTTAAATCACACTACAATAATTTTTTACCACCAAAACTTGTACTATTCCTCACTTCATAAATATGAGAAAAATATACAATGCAAGCAATATCCTCAGGCTCCAACATGCTATGACTTTAAAACACTTGGAAATCTTAATAGTGTCTGCAGGCGAGAGGCCTCTCTACATCACACTCCAGGCCTTTGGCTGTAAGCTAGCTCTTCCTCTGACATGTGCTAGGTCTGACATCTGTTGTGGTATCTTAAGGCTACACGTAATCCTGTAATATACCAGGTGACATAGAAAAAGCCTTGAGGTATGGGTTTCTTTCTAGTAATTATTTGAGTTTTCAGACAGTTTGGGAACCTAGCATTTGGACATCATGGACAATATGCCTCATATCTTGAGGGAAAGGCCCAGTGATTATGCAAGATCAATGAAGCTATTGGGGTCATTCATCACTCTGCGACTAGGACAGTGGGCTCCTAGGCTTTGCCTCCTGTCTGAACCCCTTTTAGCATAACCTATCAGTTCTTGAGAGGAAGTGACAGCAGCCAGCCAAAAGCCATTGTCCTGGAGTCCCAGAAACTCTTGTCTCTAGGGCTGATCAGGGCATCCCATGCAGCCTCATGCTCCGCCTTCTAGAAAGATGCATTCAGTCAATGAAAAGTGCGTTGACTTGTCTCCTCCTATAGATATTTAGCACCACTTAACAGTCTATGTAGTCATTCATCTATCATATGTCAGTTGTTCATTGTCTCTCACTACACTGTCAGCTCAGCTTTGGGAGGCTGGGGACAATGGCTGTTTGGTTCACTAATATAATACACTCCACATCCCTGGAATGGTGCCAGGCATGTAGAAGATACTTAATATAGTTTTTAATGAATGAGTGATTACTTGAGAAGAGAGAACTCCCAGTTGAAGCATCACTAATCATTTCATTGAAATTAATCATTAGAGAAAGAAAAAAATGTTCAATGACACAGGCATGGCTTATTACACAGGCTGCCTAGATTCTTACTCTATTCCAGTAATCCTATTAGGTAACAATGTCAAAGCAGCTACATATCCTTTGAAGACTCAAGCCAAGCAATAAAGGCTGGTAGAGAACACACCTTCCCGAGGCTGGTCCCCCTCCCTTCTGGTCTGTTGGTCTTTGGTTTGCACTTTGATGACACCATGGTCTTCTCATTAACACCAGTCCTCCCCACTCAACTCCCTGATCTGTCTCCAGTACCTGGAATCACCCTGGAACTCATCCAGTTCTGGAATATTCTCTGTGACTATGCTTTTGATGCTTCTGTCTCTGGTTGCTCTATTTTCTGTTTAGAAAGCACCATCATAAGCAGTATGAGCACCCCAATCCACCCTCCAGCCGATGCTTCTCTTTCAACCTGTTCATCTCTATCCTGTTATCCTGGCACATCCCTTTGCACAACCACAATGTGAAATATATACACTCCACAGTTCATGCTACCCACATAGTTTTCTATTTCTAAAATTAAAAGCAGATCTATCTGTTTCTGATTCACAGACATTTCATTCCTTCCCCTCACAGCTCCTGCTTTTTCTTTCCCTTCTTTTGTGGATTTTATTCCTTGCTTTGGAAGACCTTCCTCTGCTCTCTGTATGTCTGTCTCTGTCTGATTTCTTCATTTCTTGGTTACCTTTTATGTGTTAGTTTCCTTCCTGTGCTATGAAATCTCAGTGAGCCAATTCACCCCCAACTGTTGTCTTTGGACCCTGTGCCCTCCCTGGGTCTTCCAGCTAGTTCTGTGACTCTTCTTTGTGTATGGTTTCTTCCAAATTGAAACATTTTCTCCCAGAGGGACACAGGGAAGCTTGTTTTTTTTTTTTGTTTTTGTTTTTTTTTTTGTATTATTTTATTTACTCAAAAAGCAAACAAGACCTCCAAGTCTCAAAAAACTGAAGCTTAAAATACGCATAAGGCCCAGGCAGCCAGTAGATTATGTGAGCAGTATGGTAGAAGAGACTCTCGGATGGACTGTGCAGGGAACTGCAAGGGTTCAGAGCCTCCAAGCCCTTCACCCATGCCCAGGTGGGCTTTTTGTGGTGCCACTGCTGCGGAGTCATTCTTGTCCCTGTAAGTAATCCCTTGGCTGTGCTTTGTTAATTTGTTAGCCAAGTTTAACTTTGGACTGCTATTCTGCCATTGGTGTTTGTTATTGAGGAGGGGTAGGGAGTTCAAGGGAATCCAACTGTCCTTCAGTCAGTAGATAACTAATACTGCAGGAGGTCAGGTACTTGCCTTTAATCCCAGCACTTGGGAGGCAAAGGCAGCCTGAGCTCTATGAGCCAGAGACCAGCTACATAGGGAGCTTCAGGCCTGCCAGGGCTACATATGAGACCCTTTTTCAACAACAACAACAAAAAAAAAACATCCCCAGCAAACCAACTAACACTGCAGGAGGAAGGCAAAGCAGTATGGGTGGGTCTGAAATAGTTATGATCCACTGAGGGAAAGCACAACCTGTTTGTTCTTTTACAGCAAGTTCTCATAGTAGGAAGGGACAGAGTGTGGTGGCCAGAGAGAATGGGCTGGTCCAGGGTCAGCTGACATTATCTAAGAGACTAACCAAGAAATGATCAAATCTGCATGTTCAATCCAGATGCATTTCCCCTTAAATCTTTTTGATTTGTTACTAGATTCACAGCTCTGGAGGGCAGATCATATATAGAAATACAACTGTTTTTTGTATAACAATTTTTGTATCTTGAAATGCTGAATTCATTTTTAAGTTGTAGGTTTGTGTGTGTATGAGTGTGCGAATTCCTTAGGGTTTTCCATGTCTAAGATCCTTATGTCTACAACTAGAAGTTTCACCCTTCCTTCCTCATCCGTATACCTTCCCACTCTGCCCAGCAAGGACTTCCAGTGCAGAATTGAACAGAAGCAAGAGGTGATCTTTCTTCTCTAAGGAAAGTGTCTGGCTCTTACCACCAGGTGTGAGGGCAGCATCTGTGTTCTCACAGAGGGCAAGGAAAGTGTCCGGCTCTCACCACCAGGCATGAGGGCAGTGTCTGTGTGTTCTCACAGAGGCCTTCATCACACATAATGTGTATTTTGATGTTGATGGGTAGGATATTCACTAAAAGCTAATTAAGTGGTTATGGCTGTACTAAAGATCTATACTATTACCAATAGTTGATACAATTTTGAGAGAGATTGCAATCTTACCTTTGTGGACTTCTCTATTTCTGTTAGCAGCTTTATCTGTTGTTTATGTATTGTTGAAGCTTTATAATTTGGTGCATTAATACTAAGAATTGTTATGCCATCTTAATGAGTTCAGTCTTTGCTATTATGTAGTTGTCATTATCCCTAATAATTCATGGCTATAAATTCTCCTGTCTGATATTAGTAGATCAATTTTCTTATGATTTATATTAATATTAGCATGGCACATCCCATCCTCATGGTCCTCTCCTGACCATTTTGAAATGTAAAGCATAGCAAAATATTTAAGCTTCCTGGCATGCATCTTCCTTGGAGTTTGACTGATGTGATTCTGCTCTCAAACAGAGGTGATAGGAGGATGGAGCCATGATGGACAGAGATTTGAATTGCACCTCTGGCAACTGAGGGTGGGGCTTCCTTAGACCCAACACCTCATTTTCTCTTCAATAAAATAAGAAGCATGAAGCAATTATGGTGAGACTGTCATCTCTATGAGATAGGTGTACCTGTGTACACATATACTGTTTCATCCATGAGATACAGCAGCACAGCTGCAGTCATGCAGGATTCATGCTGCAAGTGGCACATGTAGCTCCTGTCCTCTCCTTTAGTCCTGACTGTGACTTTCAAGTAGGAAAGTGCATCTCTTGTTCATAGCACAAGTTGGGATTGTTTCTGTTTGCTTGCTTTTAACAAAATCTGAGAACGCAATCCCAGCTCTATCTGGTCTTTTTAGGCCATTTACTTTTAATGTGATATTTGTATGATTAAGTTGAAGCCTATCACTGTACTACACCTTTCCTCTTTTACCTATGTATTCCTTATTTCCTTCTGCCATTTATATCTTTCTTGGGGGACTAACTGAATGTTTCTGCAATATGATTTGTCTCCTTTACCATAATGTTCTGTTTCTATGTGGAATGGCTGCTTGCATCTTTCTGTTATTGTGGCCTTTAACCAGCCATCATACAACTCTTCAACACAACAGAAGAGCTGACAGCAGGATGCAGTACTTCCCTTTCTTCCCCGACTTCTGTCTATTGTAGATTTTAATTTACATGAGTTTAAATCCCAGAATGATATTGTCTTGGCTGTATTTGAACTGTCCATTGTATTTTAAAGATATTTAAAAAGAAAATAAACCATATACTTTTATTTATATGATTACCATTTTTGGTGATTTTCATTACTCTGCAATGGGGATCTCTATACTTTCAACTTCTTTTAAGCAAACTGAACAATTCTATAGTGTAGCTCTATTTCTGACAATATATGGAAGTTTCACTATGTCTGAATGATTTTTTTTTTTACTTTTCTTCACTTTTAAAAAAAAATCATTTTTGTGGGTATAGAACCAAAAATTGATAAACACATTCACCTCAGTTTTTCACTGCTTCCTCATTTGGTTTCTCTATATGATACCTACATCATTTCTACCTTTATTATTTTTTTTTTGCTACTAACATAGTATTTCTCTGGCTATTTTTAAGATTTCATTTATCATTGATTTGGAACAATTTGATTATGATTTGCATTGCTGCAGTTTTTTTTTTAAAAAGCTTCTGTTTCAGAATCCACTAACTGCTTGAAGAAATTGATTAATAATTTTTATCAAACACA